ACAGCTCAACCTGGAGCTGGGCTGCCATGAGTCGCCGGTGACGGCGTAGGCTGCACTCCCTGTGGCAGTGGGTTGCCATGGGCTACCATATGTAGCAACATCCTCCACAACTAGATTGAAGAACAAAACGACAGCAACTTGTCTGTTCCCCTTCCCCCAATTCCCCAGCACTGTTCCCATCCCCCTAAAAATCTTTAAAAAAAAAAAAAAAGAGAAAGAAAACAGTCTCATTTACAGTTGCTTGAAGAACTATAAAATACTTAGGAATAAATTTAACCAAAGAAGCAAAAGACCTGTACTCAGAAAATTATAAGGCACTAAAGAGAAAAATTAAAGAATATACAAATAGATGGAAACACCTACCATGCTCATGGATAGGAAGAATTAATATAGTTAAAATGTTCATACTGCCTAAAGCAATATATAGATTCAATGCAATTCCTATCAAACTACCAAGCGCATTTTTCACAGAAATAGAAAATATAGTCCTAAAATTTATATGGAACCATAAAAGACCCCAAATAGCCACGGCAATCCTGAGAAATAAGAACAAAGTCGGGGGGTATTACACTAGCTGACATCAAATTATACTACAAACCTACAATAATCAAAACAGTATGATACTGGCATCAAAACAGGCACATAGATCAATGGAACAGAATATATGGTCAGTTAATCTATGACAACGGAAGCAAGAATTTACATTGGGGTAAAGACAGTCTATTTAATAAATGGTGCTGGGAAAATTGGATTAACACATGCAAAAAAATGAAACTGGACCACCTCTTTACGCCACATACAAGAACAAATTCAAAATGGATTAAAGACTTAAATGTAAGACCTGAAACCATAAAACTTCTAGAAGAAAACATAGGGAGTAAATTTGCAAACATTACCTTGAGCAATATTTTTACTGATATATCCCCTCGGGCAAGGGAAGTAAAAGAAAAAATAAACATATGGGATTACATCAAACTTAAATGTTTTTTCACAGCAAAGGAAACCATCAATAAAACAAAAAGGAAGCCTACTGAATGGGAGAAGATATTTGTCAACAATATATCTGATAAGGGGTTAATATCCAAAATTCATAAAACACTCATGCAACTCAGCACCAAAAAAAGCTAACAACCCAGTTAAAAAGTGGGCAGAGGATATGAAGAGACATTTCTCTAAAGAGGACATACAGGTGGCCAACAGGCATATGAAAAAATGTTCAACCTCACTAATCTTTAGAGAAATGCAAATAAAAACCACAATGAGATACCACTCACTCCAGTCAGAATGGCTATTATCAATAAATCATCAAACAGCAAGTGCTGGCGAGATTGTGGAGAAAAGGGAACCCTGGTGCACTGTTGGTGGGACTGCAGATTGGTGCAGCCATTATGGAAATAAGTATGGAGGTATCTCAAAACCTGGAAATGGAACCACCATATGACCCAGCAATTCCACTCCTAGGTATTTATCCAGAAAAGCCCAAGACACTAATTCAAAAAAATATATGCACCCCTATGTTTATTGCAGCGCTATTTACAATAGCCAAGACTTGGAAACAACTGAAATGTCCATCGGTAGATGACTGAATTAAGAAACTGTGGTACATTTATACAATGGAGTGTTACTCAGCTATAAAGAAGAATGAAATCTTACCATTTACAACGATATGGATGGACCTAGAGAACATTATTCTAAGTGAAATAAGTCAGTTGGAGAAAGACAAATACCACATGATCTCACTTATATGAGGAATCTAAAGAACTGAATAAATGAGCATTGTAAACAGAAATAGTCTCAGAGATATAGAGGAAGAACCGATGGTTGCTAGATGGGAGGGTGGTGGGGATGAGAGAGAAGGGGAAGGGACGAGACAACATAAGTTGGTGACTACAATATTGCCTCAGGGATAGAAAAGACAGTTGGGAGATATAACCAATAACGTAAATATTTTTTAGGGTGTCAGATGGACACATGTCTTGTTAGGGAGGTCACTTCATGGATGGGGTAGAGGCTTGATCACTGCACTGTCCACCTGAAGCTGATGTTGAATAATATTGTATGTCAACTATAATTTAATACATATATAGTCATGGGATGTGGAGTATAGTGTGGGGAGTGAAGTCAATGGAATTGTAATAGATATGTATATAAGGGGGGCGGTAGATCGGGGGGGCTGTCACTTTGTGAGGGGTGAAAAGTATAACTATTGCATTGTTTTGTACCCTGAAACTAATTAAAAAATAAATAATAATAAAAACCTATACAGTATGTATGTTTGTGTCCCACACAGAATATAGGGGATAAATGATAATTAAAGAAAGGTAAGGGTAAAGGTAGAAATTAACATGTTAGCCTTTCATTAGGAAGGAGTTACTCAGAAGTCTGGCATTTTTTGAAAGGCTCAGCAACATTATTTATGCTTCTATCCAGATAATGCTATGAGGTGACAAAGAACACCTTTTGAACTCCACATCTCTTCTTGTGGTGAGTTCTCCTGCATCCTAATTCTTTATTTCTCCTAAATTGCATCCCAGCAGTTGGTTAAAATGAAAAAGTAAATGTCTCCCAAGAGCAGAAAACACTTTTCTTTGTAAAAAATAAATTATGAGCACTAACTTCCCTTCATCATCCCCACTTTGTAAAAATGCATACTCGCTTGTCTCTTTCTTGCCTAACTGAGCTCTGAGTTTCTAAATCATGGGGACAGTGGTCTTTTAATCTAATCATACACACCTCCTAGAGATAATTTTATGAATAGGTTACTTATTAACTTATTTGTTCATTCATTCACTCAATCACATTTACGGAGCACCGACCGTGAACTCATATTATGCTTAGTTCTGGGGATGCATAGTCAATTAAGACATAGTTCTGACTTTTAAAAAGCTCTTAGAGTGAGAAAACTTCTTAGATCTAAATGCACCTTCTGGATGCACAGGGGAACTGTGCCTAAAGAAAAGGATATTGAACGACCATTTTATTTGCACATCATAATAGGCCACCTATACATTCGAGTAGGAGTGAGGTAAGTTACCCAGATGTCTTCAAAACAAGAGTGGCTGAGCTCATGAACGTCTACATTTGGAAGATTCACTGTGACAGGAAGGGGGACAGAGAGCATTTTCTTTGTATGAGAGGGACGTGTTCAGGTGGGTGTTATGTCCAGTTGGCCTGATTTTTGGACCTAGAGGTCAGAAAGATTATGCTAGTGGGTATATAGCCGCCATGTGTGTCTCCTCTGATCACAGCAAACTACTTACGTGGCACATTGCTCCTGAGCCCACAAGAGAAGAGCCTTTTTTGCAGACATCTTCCATCTTTCTTGAGCTTTGGAGTGTTTCTTGGCTGGACTTGAGGTAGAAGAGGACTCAACCACACTCGCATCGTCCAGGGAAGGTGGGTTGTAATCACAAGAAAGAGTGCGGGCAAGCTCCTCAATCTAAGGAAGACATAATATTAACATATACAGATTCATAAGCTAGCAACACTGAAGCAAACTCATGGTCTTCAGCCCAAACAAGACCTAAGAAGTATCATGTAACAGTGACAGTTTACTTGTGGTAAAATGAGCACTAGACAAATCCTTCATTAACAGCATCTGTCATCTGGGGCTAAACTTTAGTTTTCTTTCAGGGGACATGGGTCATTCTTTGCCTTCACTCATGCATGACATTCCACATTGAGGGCGAGCATCTATTCATGCCCTAAAGTGCTTACAGAGCGTTTTAACTGGCGCTCAACGTCTATCAATCTAAATTTAACTGAACTAAATTGAGCTCTTAGTCTAGAGTATCTTCAACTAAAATGTCTCTTTGATTATAAAACATTAAGAAACAAATCTACATACAGAAAAAAATAGTCAACACACATGGACAGATAAATCTGAGGAAGAAAATTTCCATTAATTATATGAGAAAAAACTCATTAGTCACCTAAGAATCTAAATATATATAGCAAGGGGCCGGCTGAGTGGCTCAGTTGGTTAAGAGCTCGCTCTCAAGAGTTTGAGCTCTGAGCAACAGTGGTTCGATTCCCAGCCTGAGCTGAGCAGCTGCTGAGCTGCCAACAGGTGGCAGGATGGCTTAGCTTAAAAAATAAATAAATAAATAAATAAATAAATAAATAAATAAATAAATAAATACAGCAAGAGGACGGTTTTTCATATATACCATAGGCAAAAATTTTTTAAGTTAACATCCAACGACGGTAAGAGTATGAGAAACTGGATATTCATATATTGCTGTAAACACAAAAATTGGTTCAGATTTTTTTTGGAGAGCAATGTAATAATAACTACAGAAAACTTCAAATGATAAATTCACAAACATAGAAGTATACTTCACTCAAAAATTGATAGATTCACACAACAACCAATAATGGTAGATGTGACCAACACAATTAACAAACTTGATCCCACTGGCATACTCCATTGTACTTAAAATGCAGAATCAACATTCTTTTCAAGTGTGTATAAAATCTTGACTAAACTTGACCATGTTGACTCATTAAGCAAGCCTCAGCAATTTTAAAGGACTGAAATCAATCAGATGGCATTCTCTGACCATACAAAAACTAAGCTAGAAATTAGTAATGAAGACATGACAAACAAAATTCCCAAATATTTGGAAATTGAGCAATTACAGGTTGAAAAAGTATGAATAGCATGACCCCATTTTAAGACATACATATATGAATACACATTTTTTTTTTTAGTTGAGCCACCCTGCCACCTATTGGCAGTTCAGTGGCTGCTCAACTTGGGTCGGGAATCGAACCGCTGTTGCTCAGAGCTCACATTCTTGAGCGAGCTCTTAACCACTCGGCCGGCCCTAATATACATATTAATTCTTGCTGCATATACCATGAGGCTTGCACACCCAGTTATTTAAAGTGGTTAACTATGAGTGATAGAATTACAGATGACTTCATTTTCTTTTATTACCTATACTGAAATTTTATATTATATTTCTAATACCCTAGAAAGTATGAAGAATATAATAAATGCCTAAGAATTATCAAATTTTAACATTTTATCACATTTGTTTCCTATTTTTTAAAAGAAACAAAACACAGATATAGTTTAAGCCTCTCTGTCTTTCCCTCTCCAATTCCATTTCCTTCCTTTCCCAGAGAGGAAAAAACACAATCCTAAATTTGCTTTTCATCATTCTCATGCATATTATTCTACTATAACTATAAATGGAGGTATCCAGACATGATATATAGTCTCATTTTATGTTTTAAATTTTGTATAAATTAGTTATATTATTTTCTAGTTTTTCTAACATAAGTATTTGTTGCCCATATCATTTCTAAAGTTATTTTTAAAGTCATTATGGAGCTATAGAACACGTAACTTTCTAGATAGCTGCAAAATACCTACACTAATTCAGAATCCCAGGCCTAAAAGAATATATTTATCAGTTACAAGTGTCATAAAGCCTGGACTATAACTGTCTTATTTGCTGTTATTTTCTTGGTGTCCTAGCACAAAAGCTAGCACATAGTAGGTGCTCAAAAACATTTGTGGAATGAAATGAATGTATGGGTCAGTCTTGGGACAAAATGGGACGTTGCAGGATGATTAGGCTGAACAAGGGTCCTCAAAAACAGGGAGCTGAGTGGGTTAGTTTTCAAGAATTTACTCCAGAGGCTTCCTACTCTCTTTCCTGCCAGAGTAAATAAATAACAAGCAAAACTTTACCATGGCAGGTTCTATTCAGGCTGGTGCTGATATCATAGATAATTCAGGATATCATAACTCAGCTTTCCATTTTCAATTGAAAATTAAAATAAGTGGCAAAGGTCAGCTACATATCTTCCACTTGTCAAGATTTCCAGAGTGTCCTATTTCTGGAAGAAGCTCAGGACTGAATCCAGACTCAAGTCACACTTACTACATTGCACTTGTTTCATACTGTGGTAATTAGAACAGAAATAATTTTCACATCATCGAACTACTTACATGAAAGTGCAGTATAATTGTCCAAATTAGGCCAAGAATAATGGATGGGTTTCCATCTACAATATCAGTAACATGAATATTGATTAGCTTGATCTGGAAAAAAAAAATGCAGGTTAAAAGGAGAAACTATTTCACAGTATTAATCTTGCCAATAAATTTTCAGGTGAAATTCATACTCACTGATCGGTGTTTTAGGAACGTCAGGGCATGTTCTATATTGATTCTACACTGGAATGTATTAGATCCTTTATCTCGAGGCTATAAAATTCAAGCAATATCTATTACTTAGAAATATGAATTGTTTTAAAAAGTCAACAAATTTCTTAATGTCATTTTAAGAGCTTACCAACTGTTGTCCCGAGAGCACTTCTAGCAGATCGAGGAGGACATGCCCCTTTTTAATGTCTGTGAATAGGTCTGATATAACCGAAGGAGGGGTGTGCTGCAAAGGGCACAAGAAAAATAATCTTAAACTTCGGTCCGAAAAAACAATACCTGTAAGAATCTCACAAATGTGTTTTGTGGTTTTGCAGAAGCTAAGATTTGGTTGTGATTTTTTTGTTACTTAACAGAATGATAGAGAACACACAAAGTTCATATCAAAACATAAGTAGTGAACTTAATTTATCTAATGGCAAATTTCCAGTAACACTCTTTTGGCTTTCACCGAGAGCTTAAAACCTGGGCACAGAATGGCATTCAAGGCATTCAGAATCAGCCAGTAGTAACCCTTTTGGGAAGCAGGTTACATTTCTGGAGTAACTCGTTTATGAATTTACCTTTATTTTAGAATTACGAGCATTGTGCTGCGATGGGCAGGCTGTCAGAAGAGGCTCATTCATTTTGCATCTAGGTTACTCCAGGCATTTGGCATCAGTGAGAGGAAGGGTGGCACAGTGATTAAGATCAAGGCCCCTAGGTCCAGACTGCCTGTGTTTGTATCCCAGCACTATCACTTACAAGCTGTGTGACCTTAGACAAGTCCCATAACTTCTCTGTACCTTAGCTTCCTTGTTCTCTAAACAGGAATAATTCTATCTATTTCGTAGGGCTGTTGTGAAATCATTGAAATGTAATGAGTAGTCAGTACAGACGGTCCCCAACTTAGGATGGCTCGACTTACAATTTTTCGACTTTAAAATGGTGTGAAAACGATACATATTCAGTAGAAACCGTACTTTTGAATTTTGATCTTTCCCTGGGCTAGTGATATGTGGTATGACACTCTCTTGTGATGCTAGACAGCGGCAGCTCCTAAGTCAGCCACACAACCATGAGGGTAAACAACCGATACCCTAAAGTATATTCATTGTGTTAGATGATTTTGCCCACCTGTGGGCTAATGTAGGTGTTCTGAGAATGTTTAAGGTAGGCTGGGCTAAGCTATGATGTTTGGTAGGTTAGGTGTCTTAAATGCATTTTCAACGTATGATATTTTGAACTTACAGTGGGTTTATTGGGATGTAGTAACATCATCGTAAGCCAAGGAGCATCTGTACATTTAAAGAACTTAGGACAGGGTTTAACACATAAACTCAATTTATATGAATCACCATTATTATTATTTACTTGATAAAAGATTTGTTGCTGCTTTAAATATTTTGATAGCACTGTCTCTCATATCTTTAATAAAAGGGCTCCTTTTTTTGTGTTGGAAAAGAATAACAAATATATGAAAACAAGATCAAGGTGACATTCACTACATTCTTTCAATCTTTTAAACGTCACCAGCACAATTCTTGGGACCCAAACTGAAGGTGCAGGACAAATAACTTAAATGAATTTATAGCTCAATTTGCTCTCACCTTTGCCAACTGTGAGTTTATCCAGCAGGTGAAGGTTTTCTTCTGAGTGTCTTCCTGTTCAGCTATTTAAAAAAGAGAATAGCAGTTATAGAACAAGAGGCCTCAGAAACCATTTAAACATATCAGTTTCAGAAGTCTGTCACTCCAGGTATATGTGTGTGTTTCACAATCTTACAAACCTCCTAGGTCTTAGTCTAAATTTCAGATGTGTTTAAGAGAGTTTTGGAAATAGCGTGTTGATACGAGATATTTTTTAAGGTCAGAGGTTAGCTGACAGGAGACAATGGTTTTTAATACTTTTGACTGACAAAAAAATTAAGTCCCTACATGGCCTTGACAATGGAATACAAGGAACCATAAGCAAAGGGAAGCGCTCCTAACCCAGGATTTGCAGTGTAAGCCAACGCTACGCAGTGTCTGAAGGTAAACCCCAGAACACCTGGAGACCTTTCAAATGGCTCATACTCGTAAAGTCGTGGCAGTTTAGTCTTGACATTTATCATGAGTATTTATCATGGAGAATATATTGCCACTAAATTAACTGTAAATGAGCTGCAATTAGAGCCAGAGAGACCTGCATTCCTGCCCGTTACCGAGTAGTGATACTGAGCAGTTTCCTCATGGAATAAGGTAGGAAGCACTCACCTCTAGAGATCATTAATGACTCATTTAATGTGAATGGACTCTGGCACATAGTGGACACATGAGAAATGCTAGCTCTTACTCTTATTAACCAGGAAAGAGTCAAGGGACAGATCTGAATGCTCAGAGTGTATCTTCTCTTCCTCCCCAGAGCAGGAGTGGACCCCACACCGACACCATGATTCCTCTGGCCTTCTGCACCCTCAGCTTCACCAGACATCTCAGCTCTGAGGTCAAGGGTTAGCCCTGCACACAAAGACTGACTTTCCACTTCCCCAGCTCTCCTCACCCTGCTGGACTGGGAGAAGGATAAGCCCAGACACCCACTCCTCTCTGCGCCTAATGCTCAGAGCCCTGTCACCGCCACCCACTTCGAGGTCACCAGGTCTTATCTCACTATGACTTTATCTCTGTTTATGTCCATGAACACACATACTGCACACACTCACGTGCACACACACACACACTGCACACATGCGTGCATATACACGCCAGACTCTGTGGTCCCCCTCAGTACCCTCACTCTAATTTTCCATAAGACGCTGCACATCTCCCAATTTTTCTCATCTCCCACCTCTTCTTATCTCCCAAAACCCTTCCACTGATGCTGAAATCCATATATACCATCATCATGATCCTCTGCGTGCTCACTGCCCTCTCTGGGTAGGCTTTGCCTTTCTGCTCTGATTGAAACCTGGGCCACCTGAGAACTGGGCTTTCCCTGCAGTGGTGATGGCGCTTTCTCTTACAGACCTTGGACCGCTGGTCCTTGCTCCTCACTGCTACTTCCAGATCCTTTTCTACTCTCCTTGTCCCTGAAATGCTCCGGCTTTGACTATCATGTCATCAGACTGTCCCCAATGTTACAGTCATCTACTTACTTCTGTCATTCCTCATCATTTCTCAAAGGTTTTAGTTCCTTCCCCACTGCCGTTCTCTCCAATACAACTGCTGTCTAATTCTTGGCAAATTCAACATACATACTGATGAACCTTCCAACCCCTTGGCCTCTTAGTTTCTTGAATTCTTCTTCTCCAATAGACTTGCCTTCTGCCCTGCCTCAACCACTCATTGTCACGGTCACACCCCAGGCCTTGTCGTTACTAATAACCACAACTCGTCATAATCTTGATTTCATGCATCCCCGTCTCTGAACATCTTACCTTTTCAGTTCACTCCCTCTAGGTGCTCCAACTCCAACAATCCTTGGAGACCATCGGCTACTTCAAGCCATTGGTTCTGCTGGCTTTATACAGTCCCTCACTCCCTTGATATCCTTCCTTCTATCCTTATCCAAATTTCATAATCCATTATGACAAACACTCCCTTGCACCTCTTATTTTGTTGTGAGTACGTGGCACCTCTTCACTACTCTCTGCTCACTCAGACCTACGCATATGTTGCTGAATGTAGCTGGAAGAAAATGGCTAACTGCTCTCACCATTATCCCCAGCTGGGCCCTTGGTGCTACCTGGCAGTCAGACTATAATGCCCGCTCCTACTCCCCTAAACAGCAATTTCATACCTTCTCCTTCTTTCTCAAACTTCCAACATGTCCTCTTCCACCCTTACCCTCAGCTGAGACCATGCTTCCCAGGACCCATAAGGAATCATTCACCCCTCATCTGATAACCTATCACAGTGCTCTGCCTCCAACCAGTGAGGAGGATGAACCGGCCTTGCTCAGATCTAAAACCAACCCCTTCACTCATTCATCAGATCCCATCCCTTTGAGCCACTCAAGGAGATTTTGCTCCTTTCTCTCCGGTATCACCCTCTTTTATTCCCTCTCTCCCAGACCATTCCCATCAGTATAGATCCATGCTATTAATTTGCCCATCTAAAAACAGTAACCCAAACAAACCTTCTTGGTCCCAGTTCCCTATCCGCCACTGCTTCATTTGTCTGCTGCCCACTGTGGTGAAACTCCTCAAACAGAGTTGACTGTGTTCACTGTCTCCAGGTCCAACCCTCCTCTTTTAACAGAACCTACACCAATCAGGCCCTCACCATCCCACTGAAACTGCTCTCTCACCAGAGTCACCAGGATCAAGGTCCTCAATGACTAATCACTAAAACCAATGGTCAATTCTCAGCCTTCATCATTCTGGAGCCATCAGCAGCCTCCAGTACAGACGATCACTCTCCCCCCCTTCTTCCAGGACCCTACATGCTCTGTCTTCCTCCTACCCCACAAGTTGGCTTCTCTCCGTCTCTCACACTGTATAGCAAATGCTTCGGGAAAATGCTCTTAGGTCCATCTTCAAAATATATTCAGGATATGAGCATTTCCCATCACCCCACTACAACCACCCTGGTCCCAGTCACCTCCACCTCCACCTGGATAACTGTAATAGATTCCTAACAGGTCTCCCTTCCGCCCTTGCCCTCTAACTACTGTTCTCACACAGCAGCCAGAGTGATACGGCTACAGTGTTGACTCAGATCAGGAAACCCCTTTACTGAAAACCCTGCAAGGCTTCTCACTTCACTCATATGTTGGCTACAAGTCCAAACACCACCTGCCCCCACTTGCTCATTCGACTCCAACGACTTTCACCTGCCTGTTTTTCTCAAACTCCCCAGACACATTCCCACCTTGGGGCTTTTGCACAGCTGTTCTTTCTTCCAGGGATGCTCTTTTACTACAGATGTCCCCATAAGCCTAACTCCTTCATTTCCTTCAAATCTTGGCTCAAATAGTACCTCATTCATATGATCAATCCTGACCATCTTATTTAAAACTGTAACACCCCCAACTCCAGCTCTGTTTTTTCTGCCGTAGTTATCGCTATTTCACATTCTATGTACGTTATATATACAGTGTGTTTATTATGAATGCCTTGCTCTTCTCCCAAGAGAATGTAAAGTAAGCGCCACACAAGCAGAGGTGGTTTGCCTGTGATATATTCCGGGTGCCATGAAGAGCCTGGCCCAGAGCAGGCTCTAAATAAACGCTTACTGAAAGAATAATAACTTTGCTAATTATTATTAGTATATTTTGTATACTATACTGAGGTCAAATCTACCTGTATGCATTTACATTCCTTTTTCTAAAAGTTGTCTGTTCTACCTTCTAATACAGTAAAACCTTGGATTGCGAGTAACTTGGTTTGCGAGTGTTCCACAAGATGAGCAAACATTTCTGATACATTTTAACGTGGTAAACGAGTGATGTCTTGCAATGTGAGTAGTTTGTTTCCAGAATGAATTATGCTCGCAAACCAAGGTATTACTGTACATTGTTTCCTTTGCCTCCTCCCATTCCCTCTTATTAATCTCTAACACAGTTGTAACAGACTGAAATAACTGGTATGACATATAATTTGAGTTCTCAAAATTTTTTTAAATTAATAAGACTTCAGGTTAAGAAATAGAAGAGAATCTGGGTAAGTGGAATTTTAGGGTATTTACAATTGTTTAGTAAGTGCTATGACAGATTAGAGACTAAAAATGCACTTTACACTTTGCCTCTTTGGAGCTTTTTCCTTATCTTTTTGAACCCATTTCATTTTGTTCTGTATTACCAATTTAAATTAGTTATAGCCCAGTGATTTGCACATTACAGGGTGCTCAGTAATTGCTAGCTGAACTGAATTCAGTTCTGACGAGCCAACTGGATAGCTCGGGCTTTCAAGAGTTATTTGTTTGATATAAATCTCATTTAACAAAAGAATTATAAAGGCCAAAATTTTGTCCTATCATTCAAAATGTTACTAAATCTTCTGGAATCTTTGAGATATGTGTTCATTGTTTTCTCCTCTACTATTAGTAGATGGACAAGACAATCATTTTTAAACATCTACTGATGCTTCCCAAAAAGTGTACTGAGGGCTAACTTTGTTCCTCAATAGAAAAGCTACACAACATGTTTTTATGATTTCAGGATCAAGTTACACGCATATAATACGCATTAATCAAGACCATGTATAAAAGCAGGGAGGGACCTACACATTAGTATAACATTAAAGCAGAAATTAAAAACCAAAACAAAACAAACAGCAACAGAAAACACCATAATGACTCTCATCCTATCCCTTAAGGGACTGAGAGAGATTTTTCTTACTAGGTGATTCAAATGTGAAAAAGAAACTAATCAGGGATCCTATCAGGTTCAGGAGATGGAGTCTGTACTAACTTTAAGGGAATTACAGGGGGTAAAAAAAAAAGGGGGGGAGGCACCTTTTTAAATAACCATGGAGGGGGTGAAATGATACAAAACAGTGCAAAAAGAGCATTATGTGCCTATGGAGTTTTCAGTATTCCACGTGCACCTGGAAACCTCAGTCGTTTTGAACTATTTCCAAGTAAAATGAGGAATCATTTCATTTCCAAGTGATGCTGGACAAAGGGGTCTTGGTGCTGAGCAAACTGAGTACTGTGAACTCTCCTAGGCTGAGAAAACAGGCAGCAAAACCAG